GGAAGAGTTTGAGACAAAATTTCAAATATTCAAAAACTCATTGACTCTCATATACTTGTTGCCAGGTGGAACTTACTGAGTTTAAACATTATGTGTGCCCTCATGACTATGAATTTTTTTCAATGCAGAAGTTAAAGAAATAAGTATTCTTATTCTTAAACCATAAGAAAAGAAGATTCATACAGACTTTTTCGTGTTGAGAAAACTTTTTAAAAAGCATCTACTATATAACATTTAATAAATATATATGGTCATCCAAAAAAGAGATTTATTCATTTATTATTCTGAATGACTCCTTGCTAATAGATAACATCTTGGGCTTCCCTGGTTCATGCTATGATCATTAGAATATTGCGTTGCTATAGGAATTCTGACCTGTGATTGATTTCTGTTACTTGTTAATCACTTACGTCTCAATTGCAATACTCTCTTCAGATGTTATTCTTGTTTATGCTCTTTGTTCTGTGGCTGCTGTTGAGGGCACAGGCATATGTCTACAAACAAGGCTTATAGCACTGGAACGTAGATGTGTCAAAGGTGGAAGTCAGTTTTAGCAAGCAAGCATGGGAGCTTATATATAATTTTAATGTAAAATAGGAACATATCAGAAAGAATCAATTTGTAAATTTAATTTGAAAGAGAGGGGAGAAGAGTTAAGTAAGTTGCTCTGAGGCTTAGTATAAATTATATATCTGAGGAAGGAAGGGTCACCTACATGGGATAGGAAGTAGAATCAGCACTTATGAATGGAAAAACCGGTAAAAATAGCTCAGTATGATTTTCTAAAGATGAATATACTTGTCTGCAGTGTTCTATGGCTTAATCATTTTTATTACTACTTCTATTTTGTCGATGGTGGTTAGGTATCAACCTGACACAAAATGAGTTCTGTCTTCCAGATGTCATTTTATTAGAAGTATGAAGAACAGACTATTCTTTCTCTGTGGCATGCAGTATATGTAGCCATAATCTTCAAAATCACTGTGTTGTAAATTCATACCTACTTTGTTACTCATTTTTACCCTTAGGTCTTTTTGACCATTTGATGACTTTCTGATCTCACTCCCTTTGAATACCTATTTTGTTTTATTGTTTTTCTCCTAAAGCAGTAGAAGTTTCTATTTTGGAGGGGAAGAATCTCATTTGGTTGTTTTCACTCCATATTCTAAGCTATCTGGGTACCTTTATATTGCTTTGCTGCCCTTAGTGCTATTTGCATCACCTCTCAATTTAATATCATCTGTGAATTTCATTAACATTCATTTTATTCCCTCTTCTACATCATCAATGCAGCAGCCATATAAGATGGGACAAAACGGTGATCTTTGTAGCACCTAGACACACTCCCCAACTTGATACATTTCCACTTGTGATTTATCAATATTTTTTATAGTTCTCCAGCCAGGTTTGAATCTATGTGACTCTGCTTATATCCAGGACAATTTGAATTAATTGTGCACAGATGTCATGAGACACTGCATGAAAGGCTTCCCTAAATTTGATAAATACCACATCTACAGTGTTTTTTCCTTTACTAATATTATATCTAAGAAATTCACATTTTCAGACTAGCTTAATGTTTATAGTTCTAGCAATCTCTACATATTTAATTCTCTTTTAATATTTGCACCATTATTTTCATGTAATGAATACAGGTGACACGATGATTTTTACTTTTTGAACACTTTCTTTTTTAAACTTTCAATTTTGGAATAATTTTAGACTTACAGAAAAGTTATACAGATAGCAGAGTGAGTTTCCTTATGCCCTTCTCTCCCACCTTCTCTATATTAATATTTTATATAACTATAGTACGTTGTGAAAACTAATAAATTAACATTGAAACAATATTTTTCACTAAACTACAGACTGTATTCAGATTCCACTTGTTTTTCCACTACTGCCTTGTTTTGTTCCAGGAGCTAGGATACCTTGTTACATTTAGTGGTCATGTCTCCTTTTCTCAGTTATCTGTGATAGTTCCTCAATTTTTCCTTGCAATGAAAAACAACAAAATTTCTGAAGACTGCTGGTCAGTTATTTTGTAGAATGACCCTCATTTTGGGTTTGTCTGATGTTTTCTCATGATAAGACTAGGGTTACAATTTTTTGGATAGACTACCAGAGAGGCTAAATACCCTTTTAATTTCATCACACTGGGGGAATATGGCATTAACATGATTTATCACTGGAGATGTTAACTCTGATCACTTGTTTAAAGTGCTGTCTGCCAGCTTTCTCCAGCATAAGTTAGAAATTTTCCCTTTCCACACTCTATCCCATGTATTCTCTGTGAGAGTTATTACAATGCCCCCAAAGAAATAAAAATGTTCTTGGAGGGAGAAATTTTACTAATTTTTATGCATAAAACATGGATACACATATGGTAAACATATGAAAACACATAAACAGATATAAAGTAAACTTGTAATATTAAAAATTTCATCAGGAGTGTCAGGGGGGAGTAATAAGAAAAATGTCTAAAAAGGCTCCTGTGTGTGGGGAGAGAAGGGTAGGTTGGTAATGAAAAAGAAAAAAAAAAAGGGGGAGGCTGAAGGATTCTTCTCTGTTCACTGGAAGTCCAGCCCCCATTCAAGCAGAGGGAAATCAAGCTCTACCTCCTGCAAGAGGGAGTATGTACAGATACTAATTGGAATTTTTCTTTAAGAATATTCTATTTTTTAAAGTCATTGTTTTGGTCCATTTTCTGTCAATAGTTTGGGTCTGTTAGTTTTGGTTTTCCAAAAAGCAGATGTCAAGATGGGATCAGATATGCCTAAGATTTATTAAGATATTTACTCATAAAAAGTAAAGAAGAGGGAGCAAGTGAAGGCAAGAGAGCCTTAGGAAAACTGTGATGGAAAATGGAAGGAAAATGGACTGAGTAGGAAGAATCTGAGACTGTAATACAGTTCTAAGAAGGTTTTTGCCCAGCTAACTGGGAGTCCTTTGCCAAAATATCCCATTAAAGGAGAACTAGATCTCATAGAAAAGAATCTGGATTACAATCTTCACTATATTCACTCGTTGCCTGGAAGGATCACTTGGAGATTCAGGCCTTGGCATGAATAATATGGGAATGGGTTCTAAAAGGCAGCAGCACCTGAAGCCATCAGTCAACTCTGTCCCTGCAGCAGGAGGTCTAAGCAGTACACTTTCATGCCTACTACAGTCCATAATTTTACAGTCTTATTAAAACACTAGAAATTATTTTTCAAAGATTACCTAATTCTTTCCACATTCTAAGAGGTATCCTTTTACTTTTCTAAACAAAGCTATATATAATAGGATAACCAACAATTTCTTAGAAGCCATACTTTTTGTTTTTCCATTTAAAAATACTGCTTTAATGGTATCTGGCACTCATAAATAGTGAAGTCTCTTAAATTAGATTACCCTCTTGACAATGACAATTACAAACTCTGACTAAAACATAAAAAAACAACTATTTGAAGGCACTGTGGATTAATCAATACCAACTAGAAACTGAAGGGGATATGATCCTTGAAAGAAGGCAAGTCAATAGATAATATCTACATTTTTTTCTGCATTTTCTGGTAAGATTATTTCCTAGTCTGCACTGGTGCAAAGGAAATAGAGCCTAAGCAGAAGGCAACAGTTTTAGGGTGGCTAAGACATTAGAAGTTGGAGTTTGAGGCCGCTGGAGCAGCTGGAATTTGAAAGAGGAAGTGTCCAAAAAGGGAAAGCCACTGGGGGTCAGATGGGGGAGAAGGGTAGGTCCAAAATCTGCATAATATCTTCTCTCAAATCCTTGGCTGACTCCTGAATTATGCATGTGCAGCGTAATATCCAAGAAACCTAGAACAAAGCAACAGCTAAAAGACTAAAATAACTAAGCAGAAATTTCAGCAGCTTCCCAGTGAAGATGAGCTAGAGTTTAGATTTAGAATTAAAATTAAAATTAAAATTAGAGGGTCTTGGTGAACACCTCAGACTTCATAGAAACCCCAGAAGGGGCATAACTTAAGACTAAGGTCCATGCCTAAATCTAAGGAAAAAAATCAAATAGATAAATTTGGACCAAGCCTAAAACCAAGACTCCAAAGAATCAACAAAAGCTACTAGTAATTTAACCACCTGCTAGAACAATATTCAAAACAATCTTGAGAGGAAGATAACAGAATCAAGAGTTTCTTAAACATGCTATCCACAATGGTAATATACCATCAAAAAAAATTACAAGTTAAGAGAGAATTTGGGAAATATGACCCATATTCAAAAGAAAAAAGTCAACAGGAATGAACTCACTAACAACCCAAATGCTTGGAATAACAAAGACTTTAAAGCAGCTATGAAATATATGTTAAAGAATGTACTAGAAAGAAAATAATATAATGAGTAAAGACATGGTAAATTTCAGAAGATATGAAAACTGAAAATAAACATCAAATGGAAATACTAGAAATGAAAAACACCTGAAATGATTAAAGAAAATTACCAGATAGAACAGTAGATTGGATAGTGTAGAAGAAAGACTCAATGACCTTGAAGACAACTCAATAAAAATTATCTACACTGAAGCACAGAAAGAAAAAAAATGTTTGAAAACTCTTAACAGATAATCAATGATGTCTGTGTCCAAAATTAAGCAATCTAATATGCTTATAATTGGAGTCCCAGAGGAAATGAGAAAGAGAAAAAGGCAGAAAAACGATTTGATAAAATATCAAACAAAATTTCCAAAACTGAGTAGAAACATAAGTCTATAGATCCACGATGTACAGCAAACTCCAAGCAGAACACATTAAAAAAAAAAAAAAACCACAACTAGGCATATCATAGTCAAACTGCTTAAAACCAAAGATAAAGAAAAAAATTTTTAGTAGCCAAGGTAGGGGTGAAATCTATATGGGGTAACAACAATAAAAACAATCACTGACTTCTCATTAGAAGTAACAGATAAGACAATGGAACATCTTTAAAATGATGAAGAAAAAAATCAGCCTAAAATTCTACAGCCAGTGAAAATATCCTTCAAAAATGAAGATGAAATAGATACTTACAGATAAATAAAGGCTGAGATGATGTGTGATCAACAGACTTGTAGTACAAGAAATGCCACAGGAAGTTCTTTAGGCTGAAGGAACTCTATATTAAAATTCAGATCTATGGGAGGAATAAAAAGCATTAGAATAGTAAATGTAAAGTATATATAAAACACTTTCTTTTCTTAAATTCCTTAAAAGTCAATTGACTTTTTAACAAATGGTGCTGGGAAAAGTGGATATCCATAAGGAAAAGTTTGAAGTCGGATCCTTTCCTTATATCACATACAAAAATTAGCTCAAAATGGCTCAAAGAGCTAAAACTATAAAACTCTTAGAAGAAAACATAATGGAAAAGTTTCACGATATCATATTTGGCAATGACTTCTGTGGTATGACACAAAAGCACAAACAACAAAAGTAAAAACAGATAAATTAGACTACATCAAAATTTAAAACATATGTGTGTGAAAGGACACAATCAACAGAGTGAAAAAGAAAACTATGAAATCCGAAGAAATATTTGCAAACCATAATAAAGGGTTAATATCCAGAGTATATAAATAACTCCTATAATTTGACAACAATGACAAAAACCAAATAACGGGATTAAAAAATGGGCAGAGTACTTGAATACACATTTCTCCAAAAAGATGTACAAATGGGCAATAAGCACATGCAAAGAGGCTCAACATCACTAATTGCTAGGGAAATACAAATCAAAACTATGATGAGATACCACCTCATACCCACTGAGATAGCTACGACAAAACAAACAAACAAACCCAGAAAATAACAGCTTTAGAAAGGAAATCTTCACACACACTACAGCACATGAACGTTGAGGACATTATACCAAATGATGTGAATCAGTCACAAAATGACAAATACTGTAAAATTCCACTTATATGAAGTAACTAAAGCAATCAAATTCATAGCAACAGAAAATAGGATGGTGTTTGCCAGCGAACTGGGGGAAAGGGAATAGGGAGTTGTTTAGCAGGTACAGAGTACCAGTATTGTAAAATGAAAAGAGTTCTAGACATTAGTTGCACAACAATGTGACTGTACTTAACACTACTGATCTGTACACTTAAAAATGGTTAAGATGTTAAATTTTCTGTCGCTTTACCACAATTTCAAAAAGTCAATCAACTGTTTAAAGCAAAAGTAATAATAGGAGTTTATAATGTGTAAGTGTAAAATACATGACAAAATAGTACAAAGGGTGAGAGGGAAGTGAATAGTATTATAAGGTTCTTACATTGTAAGGTTCTTACATTGAAAAGCAGTAGTAAAATATTAATTCAAGGTAGACTCTGGCAATGTTAGTATATAGAACATACCTTGGAGATACTGCAGGTTCTCCTGACCACTGCAATAAAGAGAATAAAATGAGTCACATGAATTTTCTGGTTTCCCAAGGCATGTAAGTTATGTTTATACTATCCTGTAGTCTATTAAGTATGTAACAGCATTATGCATAAAAAACAGTGTACATACATATCTTCATTTAAAAATACTTTATTGCTAAAAATTGTTAACCATCATCGAATGATGCAGGGTTGCCACAAACCTTCAATTTATAAAAAACATTGTATCTGTGAAGTGCAATAAAGCAAAGCACAATAAAACAAGGTATGTCTGTACTTATAATCTCTAAAGCAGACAATAAAATAACAGAAGTAGGCATGACCAATAAAGTCAAATAAGGAGATAGAATAGAATTAATCCCACCTAAAATACTTGATTAATCTAAAAGAAGATAGAAAAGAAGGAACAAAGACTAGAGAGGACACAGAAAACAAACAAGATGGTAGACCAAATTCAACCAAATTAATAATTAAATTAAATGTAAATCATCTAAATATACCAATTAAAAATGGCTGCTGTTAGAAAATACATTCACAAACATTAACAGTCCCACTGGAGAACCCTTTCTAAATATAAGGTTTTAACATGAAATTTTGCATTATAGATATGATGCCTCATTCTTCATAGTTCTGATCTTACCATGTGTCATGGTTATATATAAGAGAAATTCATACTGAAGTTTGTTCTATTAGTTATCTATATTGGAGATGTTTAAAAAATGCTTCCAATTGAGACATATTATCAGTGGCACTTCTCCATGACAAAAAGGTGACGACGGTACAAAACCAAGAAAATTTCTAACAGGTAGGTTGTTCGTAGGGGGATTTTTCTTCTTCAGTGAATTTCTTCTAAATTAGGTCTCACTCTTCTCCAATTGCTTCCACTGGCTTTATCTTTCCAATTTATAGATTTTATAGAAATAGAGGGTAAAAGGACAGATTATCTCAATTTCTTAAGTGCTCATGAAAATTATTTATATATCAAGCCATATTCATAATAGCAAACATTTTTAAAAGGGGTTATAGAAGTAGAAAATGAGAATGAAAGCATTTCCCATATATACTTTTATATAATTACATCCCTCCTTTATAATCTCTTTGATATAATGAAAAATGCTTTATGGACCATTCCTTGTACTCTCTCACAAATATACTATAATATCGTATTTGGTATTCATCAGGGTGCTGCTGATACAAGAGATTACCTAGTCCAAATAGAAAGTAAATGGAAAAATACTTTTTAATGGATTTTTTTTAGCTTAGAAAGCAAGATTTTATATTTATAAGTCAGGTATAGTAATGCCATAAATTTGTTTCTGTCCTAAGATAAAGTTCACCTTAAGAAAGTAGCTATAGTTAGCATGTCATTTATGGTTTTGATTTGTCCCAGGTAAACCTGATATTCCTAGGCATTTGCCATTTTTAGCTGTGACACTTCAGTAACCTTCTGCCAGTAGCAGCAACAGAATGAAATAATTTTTAAAAGATTAAAGAAAGAATTAAATTTGTCATTAATTTGTCTAATATGCTGGTGACAGTGATATAGCTGATAGATGTGATGGGAAGTAACTGAGCAGTGATTTAGATACCTGAATCTCCTTATGTGAGGATGAGAAAGGAATGGCAGGAGTAAAAAGTGGGAAGGGATAAATTGGGAGTTCGAGATTTGCAAATACCAACTACTATATATAAAATAAGGAACAAGTTTATACTGTATAGCACAGGGAACTATATTCAGTGTCTTGCAGTAACCTATAATGAAAAAGAATATGAAAATGAATATATTATGTATATGTATGACTGAACTTTTATGCTATACACCAGAAACTGACACAACATTGTAAACTAACTATACTTCAATTTAAAAAAATCAGTGTAATTCACCATATTAGGAGAATAAAGGAGAAAGGCCATATGATTATCTTAAAAAAAAAAAGGAATAGCAAATATTCTGTTAAGCAAACTAATAGCTATAGTAATCACCAATTTCCCCCTCCTTAACAAACATCAGTTTTGCATAGGCATCTACCCTTTAAAAAAGTGACACAACCAAAAACTTGGGGATAAATCTTGATTTGTCTAAGCCCATCCATCCCTAGGTAACTCATAACTACTTTTTCCTTGCCAGTGATTATTTAGAAGGTGAGGATGTAACCCAGCCAGTGACTCATGAAGGCAACTGTGCTGGAAAGTTTCTGAGAAAGATTTCCTTGTTCTTAAAAAGAAACACATATGGAGAGACAGTGTTTTCTTTTGCTGAATGCTGTTTCGATTGAATTTGAAGAATGGAACTGCAGCAAACATCTTCCAACCACGAGTACAGACAAAGGTCTGTCGAGGACAAGTTTTAACACTTTGAGGATAGTAGAGTGGAACAGTGGAGAAAATCTGGATCCTGATGATGCCACTGAGTAGCTGAAATAACTTGAGAGTTGTTCTATCTAGAAATTTCTTATTTAAAAATACATTTTCCAAAATTCTGAGTAACTTTGAGGTTTAAAAAAATTTTTTATTGCTGTTGAAATTACTCTTAAATGTGTACTTACTAGGTATCTGGTAGTGTGCTAAGTGCTGTACCTGGATTATATCATTTAATAAAATAAACCTATGAAATAGCTATTATATTGTCCATTTAACAGAAAAGGAAATTTTGTCATATAGAGTTAAATCACCTTACTGACAGTCACATAGGCAATAAATGGCACAGTTGAGAATTCAAAATTTTTACTTCAAAGTTATACTCTTAGATACAGTATCTTTTGAGCTACTGAATCAATGTCATTTTATTAATATAATACTACAAAACGTATTGGATATATATTATGGTGTGTGTACTGTGCTAATCTCCTGAAAGTTGCATTCAAATTAAAATATTTTTAAGAGGAAGTAATATCTGAGATTGTACATGAGAACAAATATTAAGTCAACTCTACCAATAGGCCTGGTAATAGTATTTTCTATTTGGTAAGTAATAACCTCACTAAATAAGTAATATTCTTTACTCTGTTTTGTGGCTTTAATTTTAGAATGGCTTGGAAAGCAGAGAAGATTGCAAAGATCTGTGTTGCGGGCTGGAAAGGTATGAATCACTTTTGTCAGGTCTGCATCTGTTGGGATATATAGGAAGGTCACCTTTGACTAATGGGAATTCTCAAGAGTGTAACAGCAATCACATGTTCACAGTAACTGTTAATTCTAATTACAATCACGATATGCTTAAGAGGCTACTTAGAAATCACCAATTACTAAAAGTAAACAAATGTTTACTGAATATTTTACTAGAGAACACACAGTACTGTGCTAGATGTAAGAGACACAAGAGAAATATGAGCTATGAAATACTAGCTATCCTCAAGCAGTATACACATTCTTGTTTGCAAGATGAGATAAGCACCCACAAAATAACAAGACAAAGATGCAAGGAAGTATAAATCAAACAATTATATGATAGTGAAAATAAGAAGTTCAGAAAAGAGAAAAAGATCTATAGTCAGTTTTCAAATGTGTATCTATATGCTATCTTACAAATTTCAAAAAGATTTCATGTTTTCTCATCTGATATTCACAAAATTGGGTAATGGCAGGAAAGACAAGGGATATTTAATCAATAATGACAACTACTATTAATGCTGACCTCCAGTGTTACCAAATACTGTGTAAAGCATTTTTCATTCTCTTTTTCTCATTTTATCCTCACAAGAATCTCATGTGGTATGGACTATTGTCCCCATTTCCAGATGCTGAAACTGAGTTAAATGACTTTCTTGACAACACACAACTAATAATTCACACAGTTGGTACGCAACACTAACATTGAAAGTTGAGTTCTACTACCGAATTTTTACGAATACTATGAAATAATAAATTTCTAGAATCTATGAATATCTTATCTATATAGGAAACGTCTCCTTATTTTGTCTGAAATAGCCTGAAGCAAAACTTCATAAGTCTAACTTGACTTGAAACGTCACTTAACTCCCTGTGAAGAAATTTTTAAAATATAGGTCAGTATGAAAGAGCCAATGCTATATCCTCACCACACCAAACCTCCATTGGCCTCCAAGGTAGTTACGTTGGAACTTAATACAGAGGGATTTTCCTAGTCTCTCTTATAGTTAGTTGTTGATGAGAAGGTGATACCAGACAAATAAAGAGGTTTGTTGCTCCAGCACAACATATCCTATCAAAGAGGCAACATTAATTACATTTTTAGAGTTACTGTTTCACTAGATAAAGTTATATAGGTCATTTGAATCACCCTGCCTGTATAACACAAGTCAGGTACCCTGTTTTTATGGGGCTTCCAGGTTTATTGTTAACTATATACTCTACATTCTGGACTCTCAGCCTCACAACCCCAACTCAGTCAAGCCTAATCAAAACCGAAATAACTAGGCCAGTCTTGCCAAATTCTTCTGAGAGTGATTTGTATTTGAAAAGTATATCATTAATTCATAAAATGAATACCAGAATGCTAGAATAATCCTGTTGCATGCTTACTATGTTTTATTCTCAAGGGAAACGTCTATTTGGAAAACCCAAATAAGATTAAAATAGAAATAAAGAATCAATAAAGAAAACTAAAGGATTTTCTCATTAACTTGTAAGTTAGAGCAGTGATTCTCAAAAACAATAATTACATTGAATTGTTTTATACACATATATAAATTTTTTAAATGTGGTGAAATATATGTAACAAAATTTACCACTATAACTATTTTTAAGTGTATGATTCAGTGGCATTAAGTACACTTACAGTGTTCTGCAGCCATCACCACTATCTCCAGAACTTTTTCATCACTCCAAACAGAAATTCTGTATGCATAAAGCAGTAACCTCTCATTCACTCCCCAACCCCCCGCCCAGTAACCTCTAATCTACTTTACTATCTTTGTGAATTTTTTAACTTTTGGAATCATACAATGTTGGCCTTTTATATATGGCTTATTTCACTTAGCATATTTTCAAGGTCCATTCATCCTGTGACATGTATCAGAACTTC